AAATTCGTTACCGGAGGTAGGGTCGACATGGGCAGTAAGCTTGTCCTGAGCGCTTCCACGCGGTGAGGTACGCTGTATCCTCGTTCCGGTCCTTCCAGACGGCGCGCCACGACTTGAGGACAGCGCGTGGGGTGGCGACGCGGATCTCAGCCGGAGTCGCGAGTCGATGCTCGCCGATGCAGCGGATCATGAGAGAGTGCGACTCGGCGTTGAAGGTATAGAACTGGGAGGAGATGTGGGGGTCGGGACTGATGTAGGCAACTGAGTGGGAAGGGACTTTAGGGTTTGAAGGAGGCGTCTGGGGTACTCCGTGGGGCGGGTGGGAGAGAGAATCGTCGTTCTCGTCGGATGAGTGACTGGGTGAGTCGGCGGAGGATGAGGAGCGGAAGAGCATGACTTCGGGAAGCGAAAATGGAGGGTCGTCGGGATTGTGTTCATGCGAAGATTGGGAGATGATCTGGGGAGGCGGTGGTGGTGGCCCCAGATCGTGGTGGTTGTGGTGATGGAAGAGATCATCTTCTGTTTTGTGGGGATTCATCAGGGAATGAGACGAATTGCAGAGAAAAAGAAGAGAAAGTGGATGATGATGACAATTATGAAGAAGAAGAAGAAGAAGATGATGATGATGATGATGAGAGATAGAGAAAAGAGGGTTTCTGAGTAGCTTCCTTAGCTCAATTTTGCTTCAGTTGTTCTCTGACATTTTTTTGGAACTCGAAAAGGGGGGTTTTTTTTTTCTTTTGTTTTTCCCCCTTCTACTGTGCTTTTCATTTTATTTTCCTCCTTGCTTTTACTCTCTCTTTCTCTGTTTCTCTCTTTATCTCCTCCGTTGCTTTCTTTTCATTTTAATTCAGATAGAAGTGGGTTTTTTCTTCTTCTTGTTTCTTTGTTGTTCTGGTCGGCTTCCTTTTTGGCATTTTCACACCCAGCACTTCGCTATTTACTCACATTTTAATTTGAAGTAGTTAAAATCACAATGTTGTGTTAATTGTTTTTCTTTTTAATTTTTTAATAAAAATTAATATATTGTAATAATAAAATATTATTTATATATTAATAATGACACAATCAATTTATTTAACAATGATGTATTCAAAATCCAAAATCAAATTTAAATTTATAATTTTAAAAAGATGTAAAAGTATGCATTGTTCATTAATAATTTGTTTATTTTGTTGATTTATTTTATTTTAAATAAATAAGTGCTTATTGATTTTAATTATATTTAATTAAATAACTCTTTTATACTAACAATAAAATGTTTGATTATTAGGATTTTTGTATTCGACTTTTAACTTTACCAAGTTAGATTTTTTGAGAACATAAAATTTTATCATTTTGTAGATTTATTATGGATTAGTTATTGTTGATATATAATACTTGAGTAATTAAAATCGACAATTTAACTCAGTAGTATATCAGTAAGATTACAGTGATAAAATTGAGTTAAATTTTAACCAATTTATTATATTTATGAGTAAAATGAACATTTCGACTATTTTTTTAGTTGAGATAACCACAAGATTTAAAAAATCAATTTAACCTTTATTTTTAAAGAAAAAAATAATATCATTGTCTCCAATGCAATAGAAATAAAATTACTCTCCACTCTCCACTTAAGTAACAAGAAATTAAATTCATAATCTACAATTTTAGGGAAAGCTTCCTCTATATGGCTCTCTCTCACACACATGTTTAATATATTTTGCAGTCTTATTTGGTAGTAATTTTTATGAGTAAATGTAACATCCCGAACCCGGAATTTAGGCGCAGGATGGCAAAAATTAATTTTAATAATATTAATAAAAATATTTAATTTTAATTTTTTAGAATTTTTTTGAAATATATGCATTTTGGATATATTTGAAAACAATTTCAAAAGGAATGGGACAAAATCAAAATAAGAAAGAACTCGATTGAAGAGAAAAATTGGAAGCAAGGGCCAAATCACAAAAATGAAGAAAAACTACCATCTAGGACGCCCACGTCAGCAGCACGGTCAGTCGTCGTGAGCCATGTGGCAGACACGCCAGCACGTGTTCCACGCGAAAAGTCACGCATACAATCTGCATTCCAAGCCGATCAAATGGCTCAGTGCCTCTACCACGCGCGTAAGCAACCCAAATTAATTCTCCGAATAAGCAAGATCAACCAGTCCACATTCCTTCAATCGAATGACCCATATTTATTTTCCAAACAAGTGGGATCTGACGATTGAGATTAGTCCACCCAAGTCCAAATGGACGGCCCAGATCGAGAGGAGGGGGGTATTTAAGCATCACTTCGGACGACCCTCAAAACCCTAGCTGCAGGCCTGCTCGGTGGAGAAGAAGAAGAAAGGTTGTCGGAGGAGAAGTTAGTCATCGACGTCACCGTACCGAAAACCTAAATCAACGTTGGTGAGTGCGATTTTCTCCCGTTCGTTCTATTTTTCCATTTTAAGCCACCCAAAACACTTCTTAGTGTAAGAAAACTTGAAGACAAATCGTAAACAGAGGGCGGAGCTCGGCTGAGCCGCTGTACCCAAAACTAAAAAATGCTCCGATGAACGCGAAATCATTTCTTGTTCCTTCTGTTTCTCGACCCTTGGCCATCTAACGTGTTTTTCGGTGCAAGGTAGCCGAAAGAAAGTCGCGACTACGAGAAAGAAGTGGTAGAGCTCAGCGAAGCCACCACACCGAAAAGCCAAACTCGCAAATAAGCTTCGATTTTTCCCCTTTTCCCACAAATAAACGCCCCCTAATCATGATTTAAATAGGTTTTTATCAGGAACTGGCCGAAAACAGCCTGACCAAGAGGAGGAGCCGCTATATAAAGAGGAACTGACGGTGGAATATGACGGTGCTGCCGCGCCAGAACCCTAAACCGACCTTCTGATGAGATTTTTGCTCCTTTTGACTGTTTTTTGCATATTTTCACGTAATTTTATTAGAAGTTTTGTTTAAGCAGAAAAACCCAAAAAATACAAAAATTGAGAACTATTGGCAAGCGTAGTGAAAAAAACGGTATTTCAAACATCGACCCAAGATAAGAATCCCTCACCCATTTTTTTCTGTCGGTAAAATTAAAGCGAAACTAATAAATGAACAAAAAAATTTAGTTAATCTGCGGTCTTTTAATTTATTTAAGTACAGGTTGCTAATGGAGCAAGTAACCAGTCAGTTTGCATTTGTTTGAGTTTTTAATTACGGTAAATATCCCTATAGTTGTATTTATGTTATTTTGTTCACTACACTGTTTATCTTGATATTTTGTCTCGGATTCTACAGTAAATGCAGTAAGGCCTCCTTATACATTTTACCCTATTATCCAGTTATGTACTTAATATGTTTATATCGATATAATGCATTATTGTTTCATGTATCTATCTTAAAATGTGAACCCATGTGTTTGTGATATAGGTATATGGGCTCTTTTGGGCAAAATAGTAAATATAAGAGAGCATATGAATGAAGAAATTGTGCCAAATAAACAGGGCTTACCGGGTGTCTTGAAAAAGAGTGCATGGACTTTGTGCATAGAGTAAACCTTACCGTGAACATTACCCATAATCGAACAAGACTGAGAAGTCCCATACCAGAAGGGGTTGGAAATTATTTAATTTATGCTCATACCAGATGGGGTATTGAAGTAATTATATATTTTGGCGTCTATTACTGGATGGAGTATAGAGACAACAATTTGATTAATAAAATAAATGCTTGTGTTCACGTGTAGTGGGGACCCCTATAGACCCTCAGCGACACCGGTAGGTGAGTTAAAATTATAAAGGTTATATGTTATTTGTCTTTTAGAATACATATTGTAGATCACTATTTCGATCCTTATCTTCATAAAAGGCATATAGGAACTTACAAGTGAATTAATAAAATAATGTTTTCAGTTAAACGAATTTTAATTAAAAATGAGCTCAACTGTTGATTTATGATTTTTACAAATCTTTAATTTTTTGTATCAGTGTTAAAATATTAACATTCTTACTGAGTTAGTTTAGCTCACCCTTTTATTATTAACTATTTCAAATCAAGACGATCAAGACCCGAATTCTTAACAGCAAAAAAATTAGCTAGAAGATTGTCTCGCTGTTTCTCCAGTTTCGAGTAGAGGTTGATCACATTAGTTTTTTTTTATTACTCTTTTTTATTTATGTTCGTTAAGGGCATTTCCGTAACCCTATTGGGCATATAAAGCAAACTGTGTAAGGAATATAATCCTAAATTCTAAACTACTTCTGCTAATTTATAAATTGCAGTATTATTTTATTCAGCTACTTTCGGGCCTTTACAGTTGGTATGAGAGCCGCATTCCTTGAAACCATTCCTTACACATAGGGTTAATGTAATTTAATGCAACCCGAATCTCAAACCGTTGTTATAAAATGTAGGTAAAAGAACATAAGGAGAGGAAAACCCCGCTAAATAGAGCACTCTAGGAAGGATCGTTTCAGGAGGATGTTGATCGACTCTTTGATATGCTTGAGAAACTCATCTCTACCCAACATATTAGGGAGGAGAGAAGAAAGTTACCTGATCTCCCTCCACCATTATTGTAATATGAGCCACCTCCATACCGAAAGGATCCAGTACTACCATGGTACAACCCTATTCCTCCATAGTATCATCTAACACCACCGTAGTATAATTCAATGCCTTCACCATATAATCCGGTGCCGCCATAAAGCCACCCAGTCCCTCCCTAACATAATCCAATTCCCTTTTAGCAAGACCTAACTCCATCTATAATGGACTCGGGTTACATCGAAATGTACAAGAGACTTAATCCATCTATTTTTGCAAGGGTATCCATTTTTAAAAAAGGCTTAATATTGATTAGTAGAGACAGAGAAAACCTTTGCGACCCTTGGAATAATTCCCGAACAAAAGGTTGTCTTTACCACTTACATGCTCGTAGGTGAGGTAGGACATTGGTGGCACCTGAAACAGGCTACCCTACCCACCCCAATCACCTGGGAATAGTTTTTGATAGCCTTCAATGTTGAGTCTCTTCTAGAACACCTTCGACATCTAAAGGAGATGGAGTTTGCACACTTAGTCTAGGGAGATTTGTCAGTATCAGGATATGCTCAGAAATTCCTAGAGTTAAGTTTGTACTCCTCTAAGAGCATGACATACAAAGGCAGGAAGGCACGAAGGTTTGGATGAGGTCTTCATCCTAAGATCAAACAACAATTATATGTATTCGAGCTTGACGCTTATTTAGCGGTCTTGGTCAAGGCACAATTGATAGAGAGGAATCTTCATATTTTACTCCCATAAGTGGACAACTCCAGGCCCCCGATTTCACATCACATGCTAGCACTTACTGCATTGAACCAGTAGAACAAAAGACCAAGATCCGCAACTCAAGCTCCCCCCAAGCCCCGATGGCAAGACGCGATAAGGTTTGCCAATACTATGA